ATCGATCGAAAAATACACAGGAATTTAGAAAACCACCTCCCACCGCTACGAGGCAAATGTCGACTACAGATGATCAATTTATAAAATATACTGTCATAAGTACTGCAGTAAACAAACCTGCAGATCATAATGGCTTAACCTACTGTTTAAATGGCAAAGTTTTACAGCGACCCGAAAGGAGAAGCAGCGACGGAAGATGAAGATCAAGATGGCACCGTTTCAACTGTTCAATCATTATTTAAGAAGTTTACAGGTTTAAGGCTAATGGAGCAACGGAGAATATATTAGTTCATTAGCTGTAAGCGACTCGTAAGTCGACAGACTTTCTTAACGAGTCAGCGCTTTGAAAACCACAACATTGTTCAATATTCGAGCTTAAAATAACCAAAAAATTTCAACGAATCGAGATGTTTGAAAGTAGACGAGCTCTTTGGCAAAACATTTATTATCAGCGTGAGGCATTACTTCCATGACAAATTACGAAGCTGCTCTGTGATTTCAAGACAGAGATTTCGCTGCTCTATGGTTTGGAGTTGCACACAGTGTTGAATGAAACTCTCTCCTATCAGACCGGTATGTCCTTATTTCATATCGACGATAATATTTTGGCCTCTGATTGAGTGAAAACATCACAAAAGAGCCGCATTTCATGTTAAATTATCAATAATTATGATACATATGCGGTTATAAAAAATTTCGAAGAAATTAAATTTGCATACTTATGTAATTTGCTTTAAACTTACTGACACAAAAAGATTGGATTCCTCAACCTGTATTAATCTCCAAAAAAATTTATTCAAACCTTTCCAGAATTCTGGTGAATGACAACTCATGAGTTCGAAGAGCGAAACGGAGGGCGATGCTTGGATTATGATATGACAAAATGTAGGATAATTAACAATCTTCATAACACTTGGATGATTCATACCTGAGAAAAACATGATGCAATGCTGTCTAAAATTATGCGTGCATGCAATCTTCTCTTCGAATATAAGATAAGATTTATTATTTGATGCCTACAATAACTAGTTTATACTGAAATTCTTTCATACTCAGCATCATCGTGAATGGTCAATGTTTTTACTTGCAAACTTCCAAGGGGAAGAAGTAAGTAAAACCCAGCAAACTAAAAACAAGCAAAACCTGCCTTCCATTTAAGTGAAACAAGCCTTGTTTATTGATGCAACGAATCGCATTATGAAAACGAATTACGGTTTAGAACAGTCTGGTGGTATAGAATATGTTTATAAGTGCCTAAAATTTCGCAGCATTTTTCAAGCAGTCGTTTTTTGACCAGATCTGTATAACAGTGGTCCTATCAGCTGTTATTTAAATGGATAAAGCAATTTCATTCATGAATGCGATGTTTAATAGCTTCAAAGTTGACACATAGTAATTTCTTTTGCTGACTTGAGAAAGGTAATTACAACATAGAGCACAAAAATTTCTCCATTTTCAGCCACATTATCAGTGCCACACAAAATGGACTGGAGCCCTCATTTCAATTCCGTTTCCTTTATTAAACCTTGAAGTCAAGACACTATTGACCAGCTGGCTGCTGGCCACATTCAATGAAAAACACTACTAATAAGCATAACTTCCTTTTACGCTAGTATCGCCGTGACACCGCAACTGTGCAGGGGTGAGTACGCCATCCGCTTGATGTGTGTGCTCGATTTCCTCTATGATCGACTTAAACCTCCGGTGATTTTCAAACGTGTACTTAGTGGCTTCAACATATTGCTGCACCTCTTCTGGTGATCTATGCAGTAATAAGCACATACGGTTGTTTCCATATACTGCATCTTCTCCCATACTTTGCATAGGCGCTTCTTTCCGTTTTGTTGCAACTAATATTACTAGCTTAATACTATCTGATGATATCTTCGAACGCTACATGAACATAACCTCAAAACATCTTCAATCTGCACTGCGCTACAATAGATGCATCGCGTCATGCCATATGCGTAGTAAACCGTAGTCGCATTCGCCATTCACAATCAATCAGTTAAGCAATTTCGACAACCGAATGCACTTTTGTCACACTTTATCTCAAGTGTTCTCCGTCCTGCACAAGCGTTTGTGCTTCGGCAAAAGATTACCCGAGTCTGGAGCAAGATTTATCTAGAAACTTACTCAAGATCATTTCTGGCCGTCCCCGGAGTCTTCCGTAGGTCGATTGAATAAGTAGTAGCTGCATCTTCTTCCCTTATGAAACCATTCGCAAGACGTGCCAGAGCTATTGGAATAGTGGCTTTCCAATCTTCAGAATCGGCGGCTGTACACTAAGACTCCCTCAGATATCTGCACGCGAACCAAGTTGAGATCCGTGAGCCCAGCGATTCATCTAAGAAGACCCATTTCAGACGATTGTACCTGGATCGAAGATTTCAGTCATGACCCAGGACTTATGGCTACATGTGATCATGGGGATGAAGATCGACTTGAACACAGATAGCTTAGTCTTCAAACTCAGTTCTGCCTCAGTTATAGCGGATCGAGTTAATTCAAGCTGAACGCCCGCGGGATACCACAGGTAAATTTCTTCATGCCGCATGTGAGTTGAAGACTCTTGGCTTCCAAGCTATCTCTTGAATGCAGTCTTCTTCTCATTTACTGCCAGTTTTACCTCTCGAGTCAAGTAGAATGTTCTTTTCTAACCTGAAGATGGCAGCCAACCAGTTTCAAAATGCAGCATTCAGCGGCAGTCCCGAGTTAGCTACTTCTAACGAGCTTCCACTTCCTTTCCACATCAGCGGTTATCACCGAGATCTCATCAAGCAGCCTTCCGATGTTGTTCGCATGTTTTATCATCGTATCCGCGGAAGATAAGGTTTCCCACTTGGTTTTCTGGTTGGTTATGCCACCAAGGTTTCGCAAGGTGCTCCATCTCTTACAGCGTTGCGAGCCAACAACAAGGTGGCGATCGTTGACAGCTCTGCGCTGCCCTTAGCACAAACGTTCATTATATAGCATCGTAAATTAGACGAGATGATTAACAAATCGATGATCGACTTCTATGCACGAGCATCCTTATACGAGGAATGCTGATGCACAAACTTACTGTTGAGGATGCCAGAGCCGTTCATTCCAGTCATGTCTTTTCGCTTTTCAGTGTCTGGTGTGATATGAACATTAAAATCGCTAATTAGAATGATTGATTCCATTGTAGGCAATTCGTAAAGAGCACTTTCTACTTCATCGAAGAAACATTTGCACTTCCTCTCCAAATTGAACGCACTGATCTGTAGCAAGGTCATTGCTTTCGCCTGCTGCAACCTCAGTCTGATAATTGCTGATATTCCCTGATAGTCTTGTATTCAGTGATTCTGTCAGCCAGGTTGGGTTCTTCCAAAGCACAGACACAACCCTAGCAGGTGTCTTATAACTAGCATCTGATTAGAACAGCTTCCAACTATGAGATTTAGAATTCTGGATCCCTTGTACCTCGTTGACGAACGTTCTACTTTATCGAGTTGGTGCCTTGCAGCGTCATCAGCTAGCTCCTGCTCTTTCCTTTAGGTTGCGGAGATGTTCCAGTTTTTAACTTTAGTCCCCACTCTCTGCATCGTTCTTTGCGAATGGCATCTGGCGTACTATAATGGCATCGCGCTGTCTGCCGTCCCTTTGAGAATGGCTAGTGACTCCGTTGTTGATCAGTGCTTTCGTCCTCTTCGTGTCCTTCATGGGAGTCTGTGCTGCTATTCTCGCAACTGCCAGTGCACTGAATCAGGTTTTGACTGCCAACTTTTTACAGCCTGTCTCAATTTCCCAGCAACTTGTGCGACTCTTGATAACCCGGGCAACCCCCGAGCTAGTAAAATATCCGACAGTGGCAATATCATGAGGAACAGGCGAAGAAGGTGATAGTGGTTGGTGGTCGTACTGAAAAAAACAGCATAAAACATTATTCACTTATGCACAACGCAAAAGATACTGTGATCAGTCCGGTGACTAACCATTGCTGACGTTTCAGCTCTCGTCTCTTGGGCCTTCTCCAAGGTCGGTTGGTGGTGAAGTTTCGTTAAGGTGGTTTGTCTTCCACATACGTCGATAGCTTTTAAACCAGAAGACTTCGTGCAAATTACCCTCTCTTCAGAAACAGTGCAGAGTTACAGATGATTTTCAATATGTCATTGAGAGGCATCTTGATATATACCCTATGAGATAGAAGACTAATTAGTGACCGGGTTAAACACGTCAGACAAACGATGACTTTCATTTCATTTTATGCGGTGCATCTGTTTCGCTAACAGAGTCATACTTTTCTGCACGAATTGACCATATAGTCTCGCTCAGATCTTCGGCCACCCCTTTGGCAGCGGTTGTCTGTCAAGGTCGCTCAGAGGACCATCGTATATTAGCTGCACACAGAGTTTGCTTGGCGAAAATACCAACATGCACGTAAAAGTTGCTTTCCATGCCAATGAGCAATAAGCTCTAGCCATCTCATTAAAACCCTTTCCCAACACCACACCCGCTTCAACCTTCCAATCCCCCCAGTCGATCAACAGATGCATGGGCTTGTTTGCCGCCGGATCGTCTTTTTGGTCAGTAGAACAGGGCTCTCATTGTGTCCCATTTCCATATAGCGATGGACAAGACGGTCGATAAGCTGCTAACGATAACC